GTCGCGCCTTGCAGAGCACCCCAAGAAGTGTTCTGAACTTCACCCCTTGGGGCGCTGCGCCTAGCAGAGCGCCAGCAAGACCCTGCTGAACTTCAAGGGCTGGCGCTCCGCGCCTTGCAGAGCGCCAAGGACTCCAACCTACCCCTTTCATTCCCCACTCTTTCATGCATGTTCCTTGGTATTGTACCTATGTTCCATAGTTGTTTCCAACACTTCAAGTTACGTTTAAATGTCAAGAATTCATCCGTAAACATGTGTTCATATACCTTGAATCCAAAATCCAATTCAAGGCAAGTTAGAATCCAAATCTAGTGAAGTTAGAGTCAAGTCAAGCAAAGTTAAGAAGTAAGTCCAAGCAAGTCTTTAAAGCTTTTCAAGAGTCGTTATTGAACGTTTTAGCTTCGTTTCAAGTTTCAAGTCAAGTAAAGAGTATCGAGTTCTAAGTTAAGTTAAGAACATAAAGTTGAGTCCATTTCTCAAAAGCTATTAGGGAACTAAGTATTCCCAAAGAAGTTTGTAAATGTTTTTGTTACACTTCAGTAAGAGGGGAACCATGTTTTCCAAAAGAGCCGTTAGGCTAAGTTTTGAGTAATCATCTCAATTAGAGAAAGATGTGTTTAAAGACACTTATGAGCCAAAGTATTTTTGGGAGTAGTATTGAGCACCGAATTGGGGACACAAGTTCATATTAACTCAACTCTCCATAAGAACCATGCGCCAACATGGGACTTGACGTATCATTCTTTTTAGATTATCACGTAAGATTAAGCTAGTGGATCCACTAAGCAAAAGTAAGGTCCTATATCACGGTAAGGTATAGGATGGTCCTTGGGCAACGTGAGGTAAAACGTTGTATCATCACTAGGGCTCATAGTGGTGGTTGTCGGTTAAAGAATCTCCCACAAAAGCTATATTACTTTTATATAAGTAAAGTTGAGTTTGTTATTGTTTTATCCATAATGAGCTAAGTTGCTTATACTGTTTTACAAGCTTTATATATTGCATGTGTCTTATTGCTTTACATATTGAGTTCAGTTATTCATGAGTCGTACAGAGCCGAGGTAAGTGTTTTCTTGTACTCCTTTCAAGCTTAAGTTGTGGTTTAGCTTTCCAGCTCGCATACTCGTACATTCCATGTACTGATGTCAATTGGCCTGCATCTTATGTAACACCCCAGAGAATTTTTCGAACTAAGACTCGAGCCGTCCTCCATGTGGAGTGAGATTTTACCAAGGAATAAAATTTCTTGAGTGTTAAGTTAAGGTCCCTAGATGTAGCACATTGAGTTCCAAGAAGAGTTGAATTGGAAATAGTCATTTTGGAAAGAATCTGGAAAATTTGGCTAAGTATGGAAAAAAGGTGAGTTTTTGGTCAACTTTGAGTAGTCGTAACTCCTAGCTCAGAATGATTTAGGAGAATTTCCAGTAATGTCTAGAAAGCCCTTGGAATGATCTTTCCAACGCCACCGAGTTTGCTTGATTCCGAGTTCGGATGAGTGAGTTATGCCCTTGGGAAGTTGGGCTGTTGGCACAGTCGCACAGGGCAGTTTGTTTAGTCCGAAAATTTTAAGGGTATTTTGGTCTTTTCCCTAATCTTTTCTTTGGGTTATATTGAGGTGTTAGACTGATGTTTGGATCATTTTTGTCCCATTTTAAAGAGTGAGAGTAAGAGTGAGAGTTCGGGCTTGGAAGATAAGAGAGAAAGAAGAGGAAAAGAAGAGGAGAAAGAGAAGAAGAAGCTAAGGATCGTCGTGGATTTTCGTCAGGGGTGATCCCTAATCAGGTATGTGAGTTATTTAGTGTGGGTTGATCCTTTCCACCACACACCAAGCTCATTTTATGATTTGAGAAAAGATTGGATTTGTTGTTGAAGTTGTTAGTTGTTGATGTTGTTAGTTGTGTTGTGGAAGTTGTTGTTGGTTGTGTTGTTGAAGTTCTTGCTGATTTGGGACAGAATTTGGTTGTGTTTTTGAGTGGAATCCACTGTATGTTGAGGGGTTTATGAACCCAAGTGTTTGGGAAAAGAACCTTTGAAGTTAATAGGGTTTAGAGTTGGCAACATGAAGGAGGAAAGTCAGGCTGCTTGCAGGAAGCAAGTCTGCGTCGCGGCTGTGTTCCCTGTGTGAACAAAATCTGCTCTGTTTTTAGAATTTAATTTCGTAATTCTTCTTAAGTTTAGCTGTCCTAAATTATTCCTAAACATCATAGGGTCCTTCCAAACACAAATCATTACCCTTGAATTCATAATCCAAGTCAAGTAAAGTTAGTTTCCAAGTCAAGTGAAGTTAGTTTCCAAGTCAAGTAAAGTTAGTTTCCAAGTCAAGTGAAGTTAGTTTCCAAGTCAAGTAAAGTTAGTTTCCAAGTCAAGTGAAGTTAGTTTCCAAGTCAAGTAAAGTTAGTTTCCAAGTCAAGTGAAGTTAGTTTCCAAGTCAAGTAAAGTTAGTTTCCAAGTCAAGTGAAGTTAGTTTCCAAGTCAAGTAAAGTTAGTTTCCAAGTCAAGTGAAGTTAGTTTCCAAGTCAAGTAAAGTTAGTTTCCAAGTCAAGTGAAGTTAGTTTCCAAGTCAAGTAAAGTTAGTTTCCAAGTCAAGTGAAGTTAGTTTCCAAGTCAAGTAAAGTTAGTTTCCAAGTCAAGTGAAGTTAGTTTCCAAGTCAAGTAAAGTTAGTTTCCAAGTCAAGTGAAGTTAGTTTCCAAGTCAAGT